TATATATATATATATATATATATATATATATATTATATATATATATATATATATTGTTTATTATATATATATATATATATATATATTGTCTTTTGATTTATAATACTTTTTATGTAGTTTCTAAAAATAGAAATTATTTTTAGAAAAATGCACAAGTACCGTTTAGACTATGACCGAAATTTTAGAGACACACCTTTATTAAGCTAAAGTCCAATTACTCCTGAACTTATTTTTTTAACTTTGTGCACCTTTTGTCTTACGCGGCACATTCCGCGATATCCCTCAATTGAGGTGCGTGGAAAATATATGAATGTCACGTAAGCCAAAAAGGTGAACAAAATTACCAAAAAAATAAGTTCAGGGGTAATAGGACCTTAATTTAGTTAAAGTGTGTCACTGAAATTTCGGTCATAGTCTAAGGGGTACTTGTGCATTTTTCCATTGTTTTTTCAAAAAACTTGAAAATTGTACGTCCAAATTTACCGTCAAATAAAGATGTTTGACGCTTAAAACTTGAACTGTGTCATACAAATTGAGACGATGTAAGTATTTTTTATTTAAAAAAAACAGTTTTCCTCTCAATATCGAGAGTTTGTATTAAAGCCTTGACTAAATACGAGTCACGTATTGCAGCGTTCATTCGGGGATAATGCGCGCCTCCAACATGATTCTCTCTGTATCAGAACTCAAACCTAAAACCTCTCTCATCACTTGATCACCACAATCCGTATTGATTTAAAAAAAAGAAAAGAGTATTAACTCTTATCTTTCCTCTCCCAAAAACAAATGAAAATTGAAACAAACTCATAAAGACAAGAGAAATACAGTAGGGTGTATATTCATAGAATTAAAATTAGTTGCAGCGTGAATTAATTTCATAAAAGGCTAGGTAGATATAAAATTTCATATTTTCAAATTCTTGTAGTTGTAATGTTTGATTTTAGAAGGTAAAATAATTATTACATGTAGCCGTCAAAATTAAAGTTGTAATTAAATAATTGTTGCATAAGTAGACTCAATTGCCAACCGTAATGATTAATACGCTTAACATTTCACTACAGGATGTAAATGATTATAGTTATTATAAGTAGTTGAATTTCAACACACAAAATTTATAACACCAAACATTTTCCTGTTCATTTTATGTGCTTAAATATGTGTGTGTTTATGTCTTTAACAAAATCATATCATTTAAGTTAATTGTTAGGTAAGAATGATTTTATTAGATGCGATCGTATCACTGTCTTAATATTATTTTTACTTGTTATCTAATAATTATATTTTATTTTTTATACTTTTTTTTTATAGTAGATGTATCTTGTATTTTTCTTTTTGTAGATTTATTATTTAAATTAAAGATATATGATAATATGTAATGAACGAAAACAATAAATCTATATAAATATTATATTTATTAAAATAATATAATATAATACATTATTAAATAATATGTAATAATCGTCCGAATAGAGTGTAAGTGACCTTTGGCCTATATTTTTTTGGTTCAAAATAAATAAGTATTTTTTACATTATTAAGAAGATACTATTAGATGCAGCGTGGATCTAGAGGGGTGTTAGAGTGTGAATTTGACTCTTCTCCGCGAAAAAAGAAACTCCATCTTTTAATTATATATAAGATATATTTTTTTTTATATATACATCTAGATTTTAAATTCTTATTAAAATTTTAAATCTAAAATTCATCGATACTATATTTTATTTTTTAACCTCCTTAGTAAACATTCTGAATCTTCAATTGATTAATTGTTTTCTATTAAATTTACCCCTATTTTATAGAATGAGTTTATAAAATGAGCTTTTATGTAATCATGAAATTATTATTAAACAGATCTATAAAGTTATTTTTATTTGAAAGACTTTGGATATTGATTTTTTTTTAAATTACACAAATGATATAATGTTCGAAACCCCATCTTTACTATGGTAAAACATTTCTACTAATAAAAAGTTGATGCTTCTTGATTTAAGACTTAATTTTTTTTTAATTTAGAAGTAATTAAAATAAAAATAATTTAAAATCAACCTCTAGAAATAAGTTTTAAGTCTTTTTAGAGGTCCACTTTTTGGATTGATTTTTGCTCTTTTTTAGTAATGTATGTTGGAATCCTTATCATCAAAGTAATCCTTTAAAAGTTTTTGA